AAAAAAAAAAAAAAAAAAAAGTCACAGATCAAAACATGATATATGTATGTATGAAAAGATAACATTGAAACCCAAAGTTTTGTAAAATTAATATGTACTAAAAACTGAGCAGTGGCAGCACTTTAGTTTTCAAAGCACTGGTGTATATATTTCCTTATTTTGTCCTTAAATCATCAGGACTATCAAAGCTTTTGGTGATTTCTAGATGTCAACTGGCTTCTAAAATCCATTGAGAGCACAGAGGAGGTTTTCCATGCTTAGGACCAGGACTGAGCAGGGTTCTTCTACTGGGATTCTCAGCATTCTCCCTTTCTTCTGTCTCCCACATCATCACATGTGTGTGGTGTGTTCTTGTTTTACCTCTTAGGAGCTGACAGCTGATAACCCATAGGGTTGTAGTGCTTGTCATCTTAGTTTTAGAAAATTTCAAAGAATTTTCTGCATATAAGACCTCTGAAGTTACTCTCTGTAAAAAAAAAAAAAAAAAGAAAGCTCAGTATAAAACATTAAGAAGTGTAGGCTCTCATTAATAATGAGGGGGTCAGAGTCCCTGTTCCCTTTTAATTCTTACCCTGCAGTCTCCTCTTTGAAAAGAGAGGACTTGGTTCCCTGGATACTAGGTTTAAATTCACTTCCGCTGTTCTCAGTCACATGGCCCTGCCAGAACCTACATGGGGTACATGAGAGGGGATAGGAGTCTTCATGTGATTGCTGTTCAAAGTGGATGTGTGTTTCACACAACCTTTCAACATTTCTTTCAGACAGAGGGCCTGTGACCAGCATTCTCCCTTCTCAGGTAAATAATTCTCCAGTCATCAACCACCTTCTTTTAGGGAAGAAGATGAAGATGACAAACAGAGCTACCAAGAATGCAGTCATCCACATTCCTGGCCATGCATTAGGCAAAGCATCTCCTGTCCACTATGAAGACCTTAAGACGAAGCTCAACTCTCCATGGCGAACTCACATCCGAGTTCACAAAAAGAACCTGCCAAGGACCAAGAGCCATCTGGGTTGTGGTGACACCATAGGGCTGATAGAGGAGCAGAATGAAGGCTGCAAGCCCAATAGCCTGGTGACAGGGAAGGACTTCTCCAGTTGTGCAGCAACAGCTGAAAGAGAAGGCAGCAACTCTGAAGGTGGCACGATGAGGACAATTGAAGGCCAGTCCCCAGAGCCAGTGTTTGGGGATGCTGATGTTGATGTGTCTGCAGTTCAGGTGAAATTAGAAGCCTTGGAGCTGAGCCAAAGGGATATTTCTGCTGAACCTGAACCCAAGGCACACCCGTCATGCCAGCAGAATGTGCCAGAGCCGTACAGTGCCCCTGAAGAAAGTCAAGCTACCAGCAAACTTCCCCATGGCAGCCACTCAAAAATACCCATCTTTAGCCCATTTCCTAGTGTCAAACCGCTGCGGAAATCAGTCACCGCCAGGAATTTGGGATTATATGGTCCTACGGAAAGAACCCCAACCGTGCATTTTCCTCAGATGAGCAGGAGCTTCACCAGATCTAGCAGTGGGAGCAGTGGCACTAAGAAACGATGATGAATCCCAGTGACTTTTTGTCTGTACTCACTTTGGCATGGCGACAAGGGAGTTTCAGTGGCACCCTTCCAGTTTTATTTGTCTAATGAAAATGAGTAGAGGTTCAGAGATTAGCAGCAGCAGCCCTTTGAAATGGGAATTGGAAGTTTTATATAGGGAGCTAGAATAAAGATGTTTTCACCTCCATTTGATAAAATGGATTCTTGGATTCTTTTTATTTTTAACAGGAAAAATATAGTGGTTTTCTTTTTGGTTTTTTGAGACAGGGTCTCACTAGGTAGTTCAGACTTCTCTGGAACTCACTGTGTAGCCCAGGCTGGTCTCAAACTCTCAGTGATCCTCCTGCCTCAGCCTCCCAAGTGCTGGGATTACAGGTGTGCACCATCATGCCTGGCAGTAACAGTGGTTTTCAAGTGTGAGGTTTCCCCAATTATTCCTTGTGAGATATTTAGAAAAGACTGTATCTAGATTGTCAAGTCTTCTGTCCTGTTCTGAGAGCCTTTCAGAGTCCCTGTAACAACACCTCCCAAACCGTCAATTTCTCTGGGTGTTACTACTACTTAGCATGCACACACCACCTTGCTAGAACAGAAACTGTAAAAAGAAAGTAAGATGCAAAAATTCCTGATTTTACTCTTCCTGCCCTGTTGGTGGGGGGATTGTTTGTGTGTGTGAATTCCCCCTCAGTACCTATCACCAAATTGATTTTTGTTCTTATGCTAAAATGTAGGTGAAAAAGTTAAGATAGCCTTTCTTAAAAAAACTCTATTTCTACCTGTGAAATGAAGAAAACCTTTCACCTGTTGAAATTTAGGTTGATAACCAAATTGAAGATTATATGCAGAGAGTATAAAAGGGATATGCATTAAATATTTGCCCTGGACTTCTTGCTAATTCCACTAAGCTTTTCCTGAGGTTTGTTTTCTCCTCTCAAGGAGAACATTGGTCCTCAGTAGTACAGATGACTTGATGGCTCTGTGTAGAGCTTGTCCTGTGTCCTCAGCCACGCAGCTCATTTACCCACCAGCTCTCTATGGCAGATGCACTAGCCTCTGCTCAAAAGCCAGAATATAGCACCTGCATCTCTGCTACTTGAATTTTGTGCTTTTTTTGATTGGATTACTTTGTTACTTGAACACTGCCTTTTTCTGGAGAAGGCCCCATGCTTTCTAGCTCTCTCTCACCCACTCCATTCCTGCCCTGGTCCCAGTGGGTCAGAGATAGCACCTCTTGTTTCCACTATGCAGTTGGGAACTCTGAGCCACACAGAGGTGAAGTGGCACTTGAGTTACTCAAGGTAAATACTCCTGGTATTCCATATGACTTAGCCATATTTCCTCCAGTGCAATAGGCGGCTTTATTGTTCTTTGTACACAGATGCATTGGCTACAGAGCTTGTACAAATCAAGACTGGGAAACCATTCACCACGACCCGTCCAACTTTTAAAGGACCTTTCTCCATATAGTACAGAATCTTGTGACAGCATTTCACAAAACCAGCTCTGACCTCCTCATCTTGCAAAGGTAGTTCACTTTAAAATTGCTTCATGCCATCTGGCAGAACAAAAGGCTCAGTCTTCAGTCCTCTTCTTCCCACCATCATTGGAATAGATTCACATTCTTATCATCATCTCTGGAAGACCTTGACACTGCTTACAGCAATATTGTCAGTGCAGTCAATATTTGAAATATAATTTGTTAATTTTGAAGCCAGAGCTATAGTTTTAGAAGGGACTTTTACTATGAGACAGCCATTTTTTAAAATAATAAAATAGAATGTGGTTGTATGGGCTTTTGAATAGAAAATATGAGAATGACATATACATTGAGAAAAGCCATTTTGTCCTTTTGGTGATATTTTTACCACCAGAAGAACTGAAGATGGAATGTACGACTGACAAATCATTGCAGTTTTGGCCTGGAGTTCTGAACTGTCTGGTTAGCATACAGCTTCTCAACGAGCAGCCACATCCACAGCCTGCTTTTTGGGAAGGGTGTGGGAGGAGAGTTGGACTCATTTTTCATAAACCCCCCAAGATGAGGCCCACTGCATTTCCTAAAGCTAAGCAAATGACACAATTTTCTTCCATTTGCTAAACTTTAAGATGAAGATGACTCCACCTCATAACCACACCCCTCATCCCATCCTAAATGAGGCAGACTGGTCATATTCCCTTGGAGGGGTATCTGACTCAAATAAAGTTTTGTTTTTTCCTCCCTGGAGGCAGCTCACTGGCTTCCTGAGGAACTCAGTCTGGAAGGTGGGCCAGCCATCTCAGTGTTGGCACCACATGCTGCGACCTGTCAGTATTTCTTCTCACCTGTTTCCCAGGGTAGGTCTTCCTGAGAAAGGAATGGATGAGATGGCATGTGGTTTGGAATAAGTACTGGTTGAATGATTGAACGACTGAAAAGATGATAGTCCTTTGAAGATAAAAATTACTTTGTCAGAATTTTAAAACTCTAGCTAATTCCTGTTAAAACAGTCTGTACCAATAACGCATGCATTGTACCAAGTAATCAATGTGAATCAATCAAATTTTGAGCCTTGCCTATTTTACAAAATAAAGAAATGTGAGTATCCTCTACCACACAGCATGTACAAAGACCAGTATGGATGTGTTATTTCCCTTTGTATTGGATACTGTATGCAAATACCAGAAGTACTTAACAAGTAGCAGTTTATTTCTAAATATGTCTCTACTCTCTCTACACTTTTTTGAGAGCCAACTCTGCACCTCAGTCCTCTTTTAAAAGCCTCTAGATAAATCTAAACCTAGTTTGTAATGTTGACCATGGGCTGTAACTGTTTGGAATATTGCATTCTCCTTTTACTGACGTGTGTGTGTCATTGTTTTGAAGAATTTTACTAAATTACAAAGATATATGCATAAAGATTCTCATTGTTGTGGTGGTTGTGCTATTTTATATCCAAGCACGTGCATGGAACACTGTTGGACATTCCCTTGTCCCTTTTCCTTTTGCACCCTTTCTCCCCTGCTCCCACATGGTCACCAGAACCAAGGAACCAACCTAGGAAGCCCCTTCCCCCAACCTGATCACTGTTTTTGTAGTGTGGCCTATAACCTGCCCAGAATGGGGCAGAAAAGCTCTTTCTGAATGTTAGTAAGCCAAGTGTGTGCATATGTAAATTAACTTTTACACTTAAATGTCCTTTGTTTTGATAAAATAGAACAATAAGAATACAATTTAGCTTCATGAATAGCTGTGATCAAGTGTACAGTTGCTATCATCTCTCTTCATAAAACCTGTATATAGTTTCTGAGCTACTTTCTTTGTTTATAGAAATCAACTGAGGAAAAACATTTTTCCTAATTAGAAAAGTAACGTGGTGTAGAACATTTAGAAAACACAAAGACTCATCAGTATTCTGTCACAGATATTTTCAATCTGTTCTTTTGTTTGTGTGTGTGTATATTCACACATGCATGTATATGCACTGCTATTTACAAATTGACCTAGGCATACTGATTTAAGCAGTCTTTCTAGTAAATCCTATATTTTTGGAAACTGATATACCATCGTGTGTTCTTGCCAGAGTTCACATAACCCATACCTTGTCAAACTAGTTTTCTGATTGAAGACAGTAGTGGAGAATGAGCCCTAATAATTATATCCTTGTGTAGAGACTTAATTGCTTTCTTAGGATATGTTCATAAAAGGGCAGTTGCAAAAAAGTATGTTAAAGAACACACATAACACTCCAAATTACCATCCTTAAAGTTGGTCTTAAAACAAGTACAGAATGAGAATGCCTGTTTCTCTATATCTGGAAGAAACAACATTTAATCCTCTTTTTTTCTTTCTAGGTCCTTCAAGTTGAAGTATTGATAGAAGTGGGGATAATGTTAATTCATATTTCATGCCTGACTTTTAGGTGAATTCTAAGATTACTGAGGTTTCTGTTATATACCTTTAATTTGGTTAAGAAGATTACCTTTATTCTTTGTTTTCTAAGAGTTTTTTTTAAAATTTGGATTTTATCAAATGAACTCTAATTGTACCCATGAGAAGAGAGTAACACTTGGGACTTGGTATCTTGAATTCCAACGAAATGGGCATTGCTAAGTTCCATCAATGAATATTCTTTTAGAGTTGGATATGATAGCAATAAAAATTTTAAGTGAAAAATGCTCATTAAAGTATTAAATTTACTAGTGGAAACTTGGAAACAGTATAAACATCTGAGAACAGGGGAAATGGTCAAGTAAATTATATATAGTTTATCTACAAGATAGTAATACATTAGCTGGGCCATTTAAATGGAAGTTATTTATTAATAGGAGTTTGATTTACGTCAGCAAAAGCTAGAGTCTCATAGCCACTGGGATATAGCTGTGTATGGGAAGTTTCTTCTAGATTGTTACAGGATACAGAACCTCATGTGTGTTTTTTTCGCATAGGCAGCCTGTCTCTCTGCTGGGGACCACACAAGGACTGGTAGTCTGTAGCTGTTGAATCAGCTTCCATGCAGGTCCTTGCTGGCCATCTCTTGATGCTGAGTGTTTTAGTTCTGCTGTTGTAACCAAATACCATAGAATGACCAGTTAAACAAAGGACAGTTCTTTCTCATATTTCTGGAGGCTGGGAAGTTCAAGTCGTTGACAGTTTTGCATCTGGTGAGGATGCTTCCTCTTCCTGATTTGCATGAGGGGAGAGAGCTCACGTTTCTATCTTTTAAAATAAACCGTTGATCAGGCTATCCCTTCAGTCACAATCCTTCCATTACCTTTATTTCTGGGAGGATAAAAGCTGGAATCCTTAGCATGATCTGACCCATGGGTAATTTCACAGTTTATTTCCCCATCATCTTCCCCATAATTGCATCATGTGACCCTTATCATTAGAACTATGACATCAAGCATTTTCTGAGCTTCTCTATGCTAGGCACTGCCCCAGCTTCTTTATATATGCAGTCATACTCATTCCCCCAAGCTGTATGTTGCTGCATGAAAAATGATGAAAGGTGAGCATATAGGTCCTTGACCACTGTCACCTAGCTGGTCAATAGCTGAGTCTGGACCTATCTGATATCAGAACCTGAGCTCTTCACTTACAACTTGGTATGTTAGCTTGTTATAGCTACTACATACCAGAGATAATGAACTTGAAAAGAGAGGTTTTATTTGGCTCATTATTTAAAAGATTTAAGTCCATAATCAATAGGAGGAATTGCTTTTGGGCCTGTAGTGAGGCAGCATATCATTGCAAGAATTGTGTGGTAGAGCAAAGCTCGCTCATCTCATGGC